TGTTTGTGAACAGAAGATTAGTTTACTGAGGCACTGTGATGATACGTATATACCGTCCATTCTTTATCATTAGGTTTCAGTTTTTGTTTCTTTTTCTTTGTTCACTTTTTTCCGAAACTCTGTTTTTTGTTTTATTGCTTTTTTCTGAGCGTAAATTTAGTTGCATCAAAAAAGCGGTTCTTATATGCCCATCTGAAACAAAGAAGAATTTGTGGTTTGTTGTGTTCTGCAATTACCAAAGTTATTTAACAACGTCAAGAATTGTTTCTCACAGATATTCTTTCTTCTACAGCTGTAAGATATATTTATAGCAAATTTTTATTGGTTGTGATCTTTTTTATTACCAACATCGTTTGACGATTTTATATTGGCACCACTCCGAAACCGCTGTATTTAAACGATCACCGATCCAGCGTAATAATTTTTTGAATACTTAGAGAAACATGTGAACAGTTGCTTGGAACGGGCAGTAGCTATTTACGGAACAGCATTGAAAACTGATGTGATGATCGCCGTAAGGCGCTCGTACTCACACCCTGGCACTTCGAAATTTGTATTTTCACCTCCGATGAAGCCGAAGAAACCAAAGTTACATTACCGTCAGGCTGGTAATGATGACGTAAACGTTCCATTAGTGGATCGATTTGGGCCCCAAAATATCGATGATTTGGCAGTACACAGTAAAAAAATTGCTGAGGTTTGCACCTTCTCATTGTTTCTAGCGAGAAATTAACTAATCTTTTTAACGGACTTCTTAGATTGTTTCTAAATTTAGGTAAAAAACTGGCTCTTGAATTATAAAAACTCTCAACAGCGACATAATTCTCTTTTATTGCTTGGGCCTTCTGGAAGTGGTAAAACAGCCACCGTTAAAGTTTTATGTAATGAACTAAAACTTGAACTGATAGAGTGGGAATCGCGTGATCAATATGAAGTATTTTTTGAAGAAACTGGAGAGCAGAGTGTGAAAGAAATTCCTCAGGCAAGTTAGCAACGTTCAGTAAGTAATTTTCAATGGCATTTATAATCATCCATCACTGAATGCTTGACTTCGACTCAACGGTTTCATAGCTTATTTAAAGGGTGAAATGTTCGAGAATTTCTTGAGGACAGCCAGGTTAAGTTTTCTGGAATCCCGTCATAAGCAAAGAGTGATTCTGGTAGAACAACTTCCGAACATTTACTACAGGTAGTTCTATAGTTTTTTTCATGAAAACCTTACTGGTCGTTTTTTAGATCAGTGCGCTTCTTCACTGGAGTGTATTCATAATGCTCGTGAAAATGTTACCGCTCTGTTTTAGAGAGCCGGAAAAACTGCATGAAATACTGCGGCGACTTACGACGCAGTCAGGATGTATTTTTGTATTTATTATGAGTACAGTCGATTCCTCTTGGTATCTTAATCCAAGAAGGGTTTTACCGCCACATATAGTGAGTAATTTGTCAATGGACACTATCACTTTTAACGGAGTTGCAGTAACTCTCTTACAAAAGGCTTTGAAGCGTGTAGTTAGTGGTCTCAACTTAATGCTTACTCCTGCACAGGTGAAGCGTATTGCAGAATCTTCAGATGGTTCGTTTTATTTTTATTTCTTCTCTTCCAGGAGGACCTTACTTAGTATCTTTGGCAGTGTATTTGTGGTAGGGGTACTTCATTATTGCTCCAAAAAAGCCAAAGGGATTTAAGTTGTCGTCCTAATATGCGGGTTTTTTAAAAATTTCTGCAGTTTGTTCCCTAGCTTTTTAGGCGATATACGTGTAGCGCTGAACAATTTACAGATATCTTTGGGAAAGAACGGACGTTTTATCGATATTCCTCTTTGCTCTTCTTCGTCACAACTCGACGTTTTTCACAGTATTGGGAAAATTTTGTATGCGAAGAGGTATAGTTTCCATTGTACAATGAAGCATTTCGAGAGCGTATCTTATGTGCCATTTTGTTCGGAACTTTCTTGGAACATTTTAATGTGATTTTTTGCAAGCAGAATTGAGGAGGTTGACTGTGAATGGAACAGACAGGAAGATCTCTTAAGTGGCTCGTTGGGAATGGCTTATCGACGTCCATTTCCTTTGAAGGATGATGTTGGGAAGATTCTTAGGAAATCTGGAATGACCGGTGAAAAGGTGACCAAGTTTTTTTGCATAATTTGTGTTGTGTGAATGCGTGGTAGATTCTGTGGTGGCGTTATAGCCCTCGTAAGGCAGTCTTGACAGTTGAAAATTATTACAGCTTACTTCTTTCATTCATGAACATGAACTAGCCTTTGTCAAAACTGTGGATGATGTTTCTAAAATTTTTGATCACATAAGCTTGATCGACTCCGTTTTTGGCTCGTGGGAGGTTCGTAATGACCCGGCACTTGGCGAGTATGAAGCGCAGGCTAGTTTCTTTAAAAATTTACCGAGTACTTTTGCAAGTTTTTATAAAGTTTATCGTTGAAATATGATATTCGGTTGCGTTTTAGGTAGTTGCAAGGTCAGCGCAATTTTACAACTACGGCTTTAAACGATATCGTAAGTTTTTTGCTTTTGTTGTTTTCTATCTCGAGTTTTAACATTGTTTTTGTAGGTTTTAGAAATTTAATCAAAAATTGTAGCTTTTAGAGGTCATGATTTTTTGGGTGAAGGGTATGATATTTTAGCAAAACGTCTGTATAATTTTTCCAAACCGAAGTGGAATTCTATTCAATCCAACTGTGAAATTTTGCGTAAAAAGTGTCTTAGCGCTTTTCCTTGGATTTCTTCTGGCGATCTTTTTACGATGTAAGTTACTTTTATAGATAGATGCTTTTTTTTTGCTGGGTGTTTTTGAAATATCAAATTTTACTTTTATTATTTTCAGATTGATTCCAGCTCTGAACTTTATTGTGGATGTTGAATTAGACATTCGGCAACAGCAAGCACTGGTAGAACTGTACAAAAACTTTCACTTTGGGCATATAAGCTCGCAAGGAAAAGTTTCTAATTCGTCTCGTTTGGGTCTGAATGATACTCCTTCTGTAGATGACGAAGTTATTGAGATTGAGGAAATAGAAGACTCTGAATGAGTCTTGTTAAGTCCATATTTTCTTACGCGCCTGGTTTCTATACAAATGAATCTGGCCCGAGAAGGCTTCAACGAGTACTTTTCCATGTTTCCTTTAATTTCTAATTCATTATACTTATATTTTACTTTGTTGTTTATTGAGTACATCGTTTCTTGTAGCGTTACTTTCGATTTGAGGAAGCCAATAGTTAAATGAACATGTGGACTTGAGAAATCTAGTGATTGGTTTGTTTCTCAATTGACTAATTTTGTTGCTTTACTTTTTTTTTGTTAGACGTGATGGTTAGGGTAAAAATGGGAGTCTGACAGCTAATTGAAACTGTGGGTTTAGAACTGTGATCTTGATACGAAGCGAAAAATACATTATGGTATTTTTTCCATTCTCCTGTTTGGCTTTAAAGGGATACTTTTAAAAAACACATAGTTTTTTTCAATAATTTAGCTTCTTTAGTTGTTTAAAGTTAGCCATTACAGTTTGAACTTTACTGTCTTAACAAATTACGTTTTATACTCGTAAAAGTTTTTTTTCTTTTATTTTTGTTGGTACACTCAGGAGTAGGGTCAGAATCTAGCTGTATTGTCATGCTACTTTAAATGCTTTTGATTGCAATCGGCCAGTTTGCTAGTTGTAATCATTATTCTGTATAAGATTACATTTTTTGAGCTATGTTTACATTTACTTATTTCTAAGCGTCACCTGGAAAGTTTGGAGTAAAAACCAGTTATTTACAACGGAATTGTAGGATTTTTTCCTTGGTCAGTTGATTATCATGGTTGCCATATTTGTCGCCTCAAATTGGTATATAACGGCTGAAGAAATAATAATTCTAAAAGTGCAGCAAATATGGCTATTCACTTGAATGTTGTTGGTTAGATAATGTGCGTAAAGGCAAAATGTGCTGATAGAAGTGTTTCAGGAGCGTTTATACTTGTTGACAAATTCGATTTTTTATGTATTATTAATAGGTTTAGCAGTTACAGTGTTTGCAAAGAAGATCAAAATTATCTCAATTGCCTGTGTGGCCAAGTCACGCAACGTGTGTTTATTCTGCGTTAATGGCTTAGTTGGATCTTAACCAGTTATTACTGATGTTTTAACCAGTAAGACGCTGTCTGTTAAATCGTTGTTCGAGTTATTCTGACGTCTTTAGTGTTTTCTTTGAAACTGTTCTAAAGTTCGATTTATGTTTGGTAAAAGTGTTTCCAAACTGTCCTTTTATTCGTCTTTTTTTTTTTTTCTTAATGTGAGTATTGGCTCGTTGAATAATCATCTTCTTCATCCACGTCGGTGCTGTCAATCCCTACTTCTTCATAGTCTTTTTCCAGAGCTGCAAGATCTTCACGTGCTTCGGCAAATTCACCCTCTTCCATGCCTTCTCCAACGTACCTTAATTCAATCTTTTAATTGAAATTGGTTTTGTTTATTTCTTGTTAAAGGGCTTGCTCCAGGTGGTTGAAAGGCTTAGCAGAATACTGGGGTAAGAGGGGGGTTACAGTTCAATAAAATTTGGATTTAGTAGTAATTTACCAGTATTTTGGCAGGACTAGGTATTGGGCTATGTACTGTGACGTATAGTGTAGTACCGGTTTGCTTAGTTTGTTAGAACTATTGATCATAGTTACAAGTTTGCAGTTCGTTTCTTAGAGTACAGTTTGTTGTTTTTTGGTGAGAGTGTATAATTTATACTGAAAGTTGAAATCTAAATGAGCCTTCCTTACCAGTGAACGAAGGCTCGTTTCGCATACATTAGGTCGAATTTGTAGTCTAGTCTGGCCCAAGCTTCCGCTATTGCAGTAGTATTTGAGAGCATACAGACGGCTCGTTGAAGTTTTGCCAGATCACCGCCAGGTACCACGGTTGGAGGTTGATAGTTTATACCGACCTTAAACAGTAAGTGGTATTTGGTCGAGTGAAGGTAGTTAAGGGTACCGGCCCTTTAATGTTTACTTTGAATCCTGTTGGACACCAGTCAACAAATCGAATTGTTCTTTTCGTTTTAACTTGTGATATTGCTGCATTAACATCTTTTGGTACAACATCGCCTCGGAATAGAAGGCAACATGCCTGGAAGAATACCAGCATTAGTTGTTTTTACTGACTGTTATTTGTTGGAAGAGAAAAGTACGGGAAATCAGTTATTTTCAATGATAATACAAAAGTCTGTTTAAGTAATATTTGTTGTTGTTCTTAGATGGGTGTTTGAAGATAATATTGTTTTTAAAAATTGTGGACAAATTTGTTATCACAATATTTGCTTTTGGATTTTCTCATGTTATACACCAAGTATTCATGGGAAATTTAATAGAAATTTGAAAATGTTGAGCAGAGTTAGTGATGGAAGATGACGAACTGTACCATGTATTTGCCATGCCGTGGATCACATTTGACCATTTGGGCTCCAGGTTCGAAGCACTGTTGAGTTATTTCAGAAACCTTGAGAGCAAAAAAGGGACAGTGTAGTTTTTTTTTTTTTGCATATTGATTATTGCTATTTAGTGTGCGTAAAAGGACTGGTTGACAGATATTCCAGGTAAATTTCACATATTTAACAGGCTTTCTTTTTTTTTCAGTGTTTTGTTCATTTCTGAACTATCAGTATTGGTATGCTGTCAACAGTTAGTTGAGTGGTGAAAGTCAGTTGTAAGAGAAAAGAGGGGAAAAAAAGGTAAAGCTGAAGAGAAAGAAGCTAACGGCCATTTGTTCATGATATGCTTTTTCTGCCGAAACTATTGGTGCATACGTTGTCAGCGGAAAATGGATACGCGGATATGGAACCAAGTTCGTCTGCAAGTTTTTTTTTTTGCTCTTCTAGTAAAACAATTAATGAAATTTGTTTGTTTGGGTAATCTCTATGTTCATCATATGCGATAGAGACTAAAGCAATGACTTGAACCTTAGTTGAATGCAGTTGGTAATCAATAACATATGAAGTCATTAGGTCAATTACAAAGCTACTAGGAGGAAATACTGGTGCATTTAAGTGGATTACAGCTTGAAAAAAAAGAAAGGAAAGCAGAAATTAGTAGTACCTGGAATTCTGTAAGGTCGACATTTAAAGCTCCATCAAAACGAAGAGATGCTGTAACTGAACTTATCACCTAAATTATACTGATAGTCATTTGTGTAACCATTTATACCATTTATATTAGAGATTTAACTTTTACCTGAGCTTTTTTTTAAAAAATAATCAAAGGTTTTTTTCTTTTTTTCTCTTTTCTTAACATTTGGACTACTTGTTGAATCATGAATTATCACTGAGTAATCGTTGCTAAACTATTCAACGGGTCAAAAATACGTTTGTTGAAGCCGTTTTGTATGTATGCATTACTACAGCGGGAGATGTGCACTTTTTGTTTCCAGTTTTTTTTTGGCTGAATTTGTTGAAAAAGCAAATTTTAGTCGTTAATAGGAGAAGTTACTTGGGCGATCAGACGATTCAAATTTGTATATGTTGGTCGACTGAGATCCAAATTTGTACGACATATGTCGTAAATGGCTTCATTGTCTACCATAAAAGAGCAATCTGCATGTTCCAATGTTGTATGCGTTGTTAGCACTGAATTATAGGGTTCAACCATTGCTGTTGAAATCTGAATGATCACTAAGTTTGTTTTTTTCTTCTGGCAACTTATTTGTCCACTGTTAATGGGATTTTATACATGATGGTAAACGATACCTTTTTTTGCATTGGTTACCATTTGTTAGGGCATAAGAAGCAATCAAATAGACGGGGAAGGAAAAACAGCTTCTTTTTCAGGTATCTATTTGATGGATGAAATAATTTTTGCATAAAAGTTGTAAGTTAACGTTGACTTGTTTTTTTTTTCTTTATTATTATTATTTTTTTTGTTGCTGTTTCCTCTGTTCAGTTGGTTATTGTCTCTTTTAGAGAAAGGAAAAAAAACAAATTTTTTTGGTTTCAAAATCTTTAGAAAATATAGCGTATTGTCTGAACTGTTCATTGCTGATTTTGATATCAACGATGAATAACAGTAGGAAAGGAAGAAGAAGAAGTAGCAACAGAAAAAAAATCGAATTTTCAAAAATAAAAGATGGGAAAAACAAAAAAAGAACGTTTGTTGATTTTTATTCAAAATTTTATTTTAAATACTTTGTTGTTTCATTTTTTTTTTCGTTTTTTTAGTGGGCGTTATTCAGATGCCGTCTTTTTTGTTCTAACTTTTTTCTGTATTTGTTTTTTTCTAACTGTTTAACAAGAAAATGACTCAGCGTGAATATGTTTGGAAATTTTAAGTTTAAAATTTTGAAAGAGTAAAAAAAGAAAACCAAGAAAAAGAAGAAAAGGAGGAGGAAGAAGGAGAAGAAGAAGAAGAAGAAGAAGAAGAAGAAAAGGAAGAATGAGTAGGAGAAGAGAGCAAAGGAATAGGTTTATTTACCGGGATTATTGTACTTTAATTCACCGTTAAATGTTTGTGACATGTTGGGATTGGCAAAAAAAAGAGCAGAAGTAATTTATAGTAAAAAAATTGTTGCAACTAAGCAAGCTAAAATTGAGCAATAAGATCAGACTAGCAACACTATTGACATTTCTGTGATTAAACTGTCGTCAAAATTCATCATCACAGTGATTGGACTGTTTAAAACGTTGCCGAATGCTTAAAGGTTGACTTCAGTCACCGAATCTGTTGAAAGAAAAAATGGAAAAAAGTTTACATTTTTTTTTTTAGTTTGTTTATAATCTATTTGATGCAGGGGATTTTTTTTCTGTAATCATTTTGAAGTGCTGAAATAGTTTTGTTTTAATTTTGCATACTTATCAATTGGTGAACTGTATACTAAGGGTGTTAAAGATTGGTTGATTTATTTCCCAATTTATAGCAATTATTGCTTTCAAACAGTAATGGCAGAAACAGCTAACAAGCGGTTTTTTTTCTGCTTGCTAAATTTGTTTCATTGATTTTAAAGTAAACTATTTTTGTTGGTTTTTTGGAAGAAAAAAAAAATTTATAACTGTACATAACTGTATTTTTTTTTTTTTTTTTTTTTTTTTTTTTTTT